CGACTAGTATATGACTCAATTTGAACAGTGGAAAAATTTGAAGGAAAAAATTCACAGAAACTAAAAGTTGAATTTTTTGCATTTTTTGATGGTATTTTTAGGGTATGTCTAGTTGGTTGGTCCTAGCGGACCATAGGTAGTTCTGTAGACCGTAATATTTTGGATTCATATATGGTACACTAATACCTAAATTTCTATGGGGTCAGATTTAAAATTGGTTGACCACCATGTTTGTCGACTTGTGAAATTTTTGATTTTCTCGTGGAACGTCTCTTAAATATTTATCTCTTCTTGATTAGTTTCATTTAGTTGAATAATAAATATCAACAAGTGATCGATCTTCTTTTTCTCCAATAACTTTATGATTATGATGTTTTTCATTGATTTTATCTTCTTCTTTAGTATTTAATTGATTATGTCATTTTGCAGTATTTGCTTTTATTATTTGTTTTTTTTTGCTATTTTAATTAAATGATCAGATAATGTATAAATATATTTTGTTTTCTTTTTAATAAATGTTTAAGTAAAGATGGATATTTATTCAATGAATCAATGTAATTTTCATTTAAATTAAATTAAATTATATTATGATTACAACCAGTTATTGGATCAATATGAGTTTCACCAAAACGACATAATATACGATATAAATATCGACCATATGTATTAAACATAAAAGTGTGAAGAAATATCTGCTGATCGTTAAGTTAAATATATAGTTAAATCAGGTGAATGTTTACATTCAGATTGATATGGACATTTTTGAAGACCATCTCGGACAACAAAAAATAAATGATGATCATTAAAATTGGATGAAGACCGAGCATTAAGTTCTAAATGTTTAAGATTTTGATCCTGCAAAAAAAAGATGATATATTAAAAGATTCTTAACTGTTGATGAATGTTTTACTTTTAATTTCTTGTTTTTTGGTTCATTAGTATTATCGGTTTCTGCAATTAATTTTTTATATTTCACATATATGTTGTACATTTAATAGAACTTCATGATCACAATCCGTCAACGTTTTTTTGAAAAGAAAATTTTTAGATGTTTATTTGATTAACCAAACGTAAGTTTAATATGTGCCATTCCTGGTTGAATTTTCAGGTCTCATATCTTTTTAATTGTTCTTCTGTTAATTTAAACCGTTTATTTACCGGACGAGTAATTTGTTGAAATAGATCATTTGAACTCATTATTTTTAATCTGAAAACATTTTTTCTTTTTTTTTTTTTATGAACAACCAATGATGATACTGTTCTTTATGATAAATAAAACATGAACGATAACAACAAGAGTAAAAAAAGCTATTCTAAGTCATCATTCAATTTAAAATAAAGTTTCTTATCCGATGTTGTTGCGATGTGCATATATTCGTTTTGATCAGCTGTTGGTTCATTATTAAGTATTTGAATATTGTCAATATTCGTAAGCGATGTAATCAGTTCAAGATATTCCTTAAAATCTGTCGATGTTGATGATGAAGATTTGATACAAACTAAAGAAAAAGAAAACGAAATATGAATTCAGAAGTAAAATATCAACCAACGAAGAAA